ATTGTATTGAAAATGAGTAGGATTGACTGATTAGTTCCGGAGATATTCAATTTTTAGTGTAAAATGATTATGTGGAATATCTCAAAATTGACTTGACCGAATTTATTTTTTTTTATATGAAAATTTTTGTCTCGATGTCCCCTGTCATTATCAATTCAAATATATATAGTTGCCCATACAAACTTTTTGAGATATTTAGATTTTTTCATTTTTCAGTTCAAATTGTTGTACGCATTTTTTTTAATTCCATTCTTTTCGTTATGCTTGGCACTATTGAAATTAATCAAAAACTGGAAAATGCATCCTGTAAGTAATCATAGTTATATGACACTTTTATGTTATTGAAAAAAAAAAATGTTGTTCGCTCTTTCATCCGCACAAAAATCAAGCTATTAACGCTATTGACGTTTTCTCTTTGCCGGATTCGAGACACTTTCGACGAGAGTATTATTAATGGGAATTCCGAGAATTTAAACAGGCGCCATCAAAGCCGTTGGGTGTGTCATATATAGTGGAAACTCTGCAATTATTCTGAAGAGGCCGATAGTGTAGGATATCACTTGTGACCATGTTTCACTACAGTAGCTACCTACATAAGTGAGATTCCACCAATACCACACGCCACCTCAAGTCGGTGGCCAATCGAAATGCACGTCTTATGAGAACGACGTCCACTACTGTTTGACTATCCTCGAGGCAGGAGCTCATAGGTCTTAAAACATTTTAAGAATCTATTTCGATCGTTGGATAGGTATTATGCAGTGGAGGAAATCGTGAATTTACACAAGATTTTTTATTTCATATATTATTTCTTTTCACTTCAGGATTTAGCATGTGCGAGTCAGAGACGGAGAACGGGGGTCCTGATACTCCACCCAAAAACCTGTCACGAAGTAAAAAAAAAGTAATCCAAAAGTTTCGAACTGAATGGCTGAAAGATTCTCGGTTTAAATATTGGTTGGAGAAAGTACCAAACGATCCATACAAGGCCAGCTGTAAACTGTGTACCAAAATGATAACAGCTAATATCTCAGTTTTACTTGCACATCGAGAATCATCCAAGCATCATTTAAAAGAATCGCTGCTTTTGGAGCATGCACCAAAGATTACAAATTTTTTCCGGTCTCAAGTAGATGCCAAAAGACCATCGAGTCTGGACATTGCTACTAATAATGCTGAGATAAAATTGATTGGATGTTTGGCACAACATGACATCTCAATGAATTTTCTCGATCACATCACACACAACCTGAAGGAGATGTTCCCCGACTCACGTATTGCTCACAATATGCATCTGAAGAGGACGAAAGGTACTGCCATTGCCAAGAACGTGATCGGTGCATGTGATAAAGATCAGTTGACGAAAAAATTAAATGTCACAAAGTTCAGTATTTTAACTGACGAATCAACTGACGTATCCCATTCCAAGGCGAGTTGCATAGTAGTGAGGTAGTACGATGAGGAGAGAGGGCGGATTGTGTCTAAATTTTGGGATCTAGTGCAAGTATTTGATGAAACTGGCTCTGTGGTAAGTGCTACTGCTCAACATCTCTACGAATCTCTAATTATAAGTTTCGAGGAAAGAGGAATCCCCGCCAAAAACATCATCGGTTTCGGATCGGATGGATGTAACGTGATGATAGGACAGCCCAACTCGGTGTCAAGTCGATTAAGAAGGGATTACCCTGGAATAATCGTCATGACATGCTTGTGTCGTACTTTCCATGTATGTGCTAGTGCCGCCTGGGCCTGCTTACCTGACAAAATCGAAGATTTATGTCATCAGATCTACAATTTCTTTGCATCGAGTGCTGAACGGATATCTGCTCTGATTCAATTCCAACATTTCGCAGACACTCCAGTTCATACAATGCTGCATCCATCACAAACTCGCTGGCTCTCGTTGGCCATAGTTGTGGAGAGACTATTAGAGCAATGGTCAGCACTGAAATTATTTTTCACGGAGAAATTATAAGAATTTACATGACCCCTGTAACAAACTGTTCCTACTCTTTTTGAAATGGGCACTCCCCAAATTCACTCGAGTGAACCTGTACTCTCAGTCGAGTAAAGCAGTAATTACCGATGTCCATGACGTGATTGCGGAGTTGTTCCAAGATCTTCTTAGCTCGTACACGAAGAGGGATTATGTATATTCAGTTAATATATCTAAAGTCACAGGATATCCACAGGACAGTTCTCAATTCCTTCCTACTAATCAAATGTATTTGGGAGCTGAGGTCATGATGGAGTTGCAGAAACGAGAGATATCTGAACGAAAAGACATGCTAGATTATTTCTTTAACAAAGTCCAAAAGTTCTTGATCAAAGCATGTTTTGAAATCCTGAAACGGTACGACTTTAAAGATGATGTACTGTTATGCCCCAGAAATACCATTAAATTAAGAAATAGTATTAGGTAATTTCTCATTGACCTGGATAATATGACGACACGCGAAGTGGCACATATTATCCAAAACATGTAAAATCGAATCAAAGAATGTCAATGTTGTAATATAAACTATCCCGAATATTTGTGGATTAAGTCCACATATATTC